CATTTTGTTATGAACCACTTTCTTCTGTTTGTTTGAACACGCCGCCTACTGATTTGATATTTCCACCCTTTACAAAGGGTATTGTTCCCCACAAGGAACAATAAATCCTTGTTCATTCCATCTATGCCACTTTTTATGGGTCTCCATATATTGTATTAAAAAGTTTTTAACCTTTACTACTTATTTTGTGTTTCAGTCCGTCAGTTCTGTGTATTAACTTAGAATTGTATCTCCCATGCCACTATGTGCCAGTTTAAATTCAGGTACATTAGACCTCATTTGCTATTTCAAAGTGCAATTATCATCTGTCGGGCAATCCTTCTGGGTTCACGGAACTGCTTGCAGTTTGCCATTGCCGTAGTGACGTCAAGTAACTTGTTAGTGCTGCCAAACTGTCACTCTGGTCACTTGATTGTGATAAGTAATTTAAGAGCATGGCCCCAGCAGCAACGGATCCTTGTGAGAGGCCAGGAATAACTCTGAAAAATGCTTTTTGGAAATCTAAAAAGACAATAAACTTGTCTTCATACTGACCAACTTTGAAAAAAACTCAGCAGTTGTGCAGCATGACCTCCTCTCACAAAGGCTTTGTTGAGTCATTCATCCACATATCTGCTAATGCTATTCTTTAGAAGAGTTCCTATTAATTTAGTTGGGAAAGATGTCAGGATTACTTCCAAAATTAAGTTCACATACCAAAACCCAAAATTCCAAGGAATTCAGCAGCAACATCAAAGAGAAACAAGACTGGGGGGGAAGACGTTGACGCTTTTCAATTTAAATTAATATAATTTTCTAGAGCTACATTAATAAACTTAGTTTAAAAATACACATTGTTGTATGCTGCAAGACAGCTTTGAATATGAATTTTGGCAGGTTTTAAAAATCTTCATATACCTCAATATTCCATAGAAGAAACTACAAAAATCAGTTCAAAGTGGGAGGAACAGGATCCTGCTAAATTTTAGTACTCTGGCTTTGCAGACTGTGAATATTTATTAAATGCCTCCCTTCTTCCCCTCCAGAAGAGGTCCTTTTTCACTTGCAGAGACTAATTATACTATGCCCACAAGTTACAGTATTATTAAACTGGCAATACTGCATATGAAATATAGTTACAGATAATTAAGAAAGCCCTTTAGTAACACTCACTCAAGTGCAGAAAACACTTCTAGAAAGAGCTCTCTGCTAATGTAGCAATGCTCATTAGTTTTAAAATTGGTACAGAATGCTTGGAGAGTAATAGCTCCCAGGTTGGAGGGGCTGGTGGTGGGGTGCTGTAAAAAAAAAAAAAAAAAAAAAGGCAAATTCGTGATTTTGCCACTTCCACACGAGGAGGGTAAATGGATACAGCTCTATTTTAGCCAACATTGTTAACAGTAATCTGAAACTTTAAAGGTTAAAGTATTAAAAATTAACAGCACTTACTCAGGGCCTACTTCCTACCCAGGATGGGGAGAGAACGATTAGTAGTCACAGCAGAAGTCACACCAGCATAGGAGACATGCCTGGTTTTGCTGAGGCACAAGTATGGTGCAAACAGATGTTCAGCTATTCCAATTTACTTGATTGGTCTTGAAACAGTGGTACACTCACGGATTTAAACTAATAAGAATGCTACAGAGACAATAACTGATGACTTTTTGCTTCTGCCTTTTCAAATAGTTGTTATTGTAACTGAATTCTTTGTAGTTGGAGTAAACCATAGAAAACCCACAGTAATGTTAGTTACTTGCCAGGACAACATGGTAAAAGCTAAAGGGGCAAATGAAAAGGAAATCAGAACATTACATGGATGTGCTGAAAAGACTTTGCAATGGTCAGAGGCAAGTATGTGGCTTTGGCATGAAACAGAAATACTTCAGTTTATATATGTTTCAGAGTTTCTCTAGAAGTTAATTATTTTTAGTGTGCACATGTGAGAGGAAGGAACTTCTGCTCATAACATGAATATGTCTACAGTCTACCAGTTTAAAGACTCCCTTAACTTATCAAATACACCCGCCACACATACTGCTCACAGAATATTAGCAGGTCTTTGTCTTCAAAAGTTGGTTTCATAGCCTGGGGTTAGGACAAATAAAACGTCATTTCAAAATTCAGCAACAAGTCCTCAGCTACAGAAGAGCTCTACTACCCTGCGTTTGTACAAGGTGCTAAAGCAGGATGCTTTTCCTTCCCCCGAGGTCAGAACCACCAGTCATCACTATCCTTTCTCCCATCGTCATCCCACTGGCCATATTCCTCTTCCCCTAGCCTAACAACAGTGTCAGTCTAGTTGCCAAATTCATGATGGCATTGCCTAACAGTCACATCTATGTGCAATTGCACTTCTTAAAAGCCCGTCTTATTTTTGTATTTCGGAGAAACACATGATGTGTCTTGAAGTCAAGACACAACCGTCAATATAATCTATCTACTAAAATACCTTATCATGCTAGTAAGGACTGAAGCATTTAAACTTTCAAAATTAAGCTTAGAAGCAGTATCATTTGAAAACAGCTCTCCCCCTCTGTGTCAGGAGAGCTATACTGTCTGTAACTTATACAACATTAAGCACCAGTGAGCTACCGTATTGGAACCTGCTGTTGCCCACAGTGAAGTACTTAAATTCTCTATCCTGTAACAGACACTCCCAATACATGCAAAGAAGTACCATAACCGCACCAGTTAAGTCATAGGAGGGGAAGTGTTCAAACTAAACAGTTGTCTAATGAAATATGCTATACCTTACTGCTATTAAGACAATCAGAAACTTTTATTTTTGAAAAAGCAAGACTTGGAAGCAAGAAGACGATCACGGCAAATTAGAGACAGTTATGATGGATGATAGTGAACTGAAGGTCTTACTTGAATTCTGAAGGTTGTGAGGAGATTCACCTGACACAGAGCTATAGGTAACCTATTCTCAACTAATTAATTTCAGAATTACCTTAAAAGTAGTCAACCATTTGCAAACTATTTTTTTTTTTTTTAATAAGAACCAGAAACAAAGAAGATAAGGAAACTTACTTGTCCTTTCATGAGGAAAAAGTGGTTCAATTATTTGACAAAACAGGAAAAAAAAAGAATAAAAAAGCAAAACCAGAGCATCCTTTTATTGCTTTATGAAAAAGGCAGCATTTGTTGAATTCAAACATGAAGATACAGATCAGATCTAATGATCTGAGGACACTACTGCAGAAACAAGGATTTGTTTCTAAAAAACAAAAGGAGATTATGGGTTCAGGAAAGGGTAGCTTATGAGACAGAACCGCTTGCAGATATGCTGCTCTTTAGTATTCTGTAAAGCAATTCAGCAGACACAGATCTAATGCTTAGTTTGATTTCCCACCAAGATCAGTAAGAGTGAAGATGTTTAAGGAAATCTCCTTAGCAGCAAGATCTTATACTAGGTGACCATGATGAGAAAGTGATCTGCATTTAGACTGACTCCGGCTCTTACTCCTTTAAATGCAGTTTTATTTTCAAATTCAACACTTGTCCTGTTTCACACTGAATAGTGCCTGCAGTGACTTATTCTTATGCAACATCCACAGAAGTCCTGCTTAAGAATTTAACAAGTCAATACATCTACAGTTTTTTCTGCAAATCCATGCAATGTTATTAAGAACCCAAACCCCATAAATTTTTATACCACTTCCGATTCCAAATGAAATTACATTAAGCACTTTGATGTTCAAGACATTATGTGCCATTGTGTTGTCCTCCAAGAAAACAACAAAAACAGGATTGCATTAAATAATTCTTCAGATATTATATTAAATTGCACAACTATCAATCATCTGAATGAATATAAAAAAAAATTTAGTTTTCAAAAAAAACCCCAGAAGAAAACAGAAGCCCAACTTAAGCTTGAAGTTCACCCAAACTATTTTGGTTTCAAGCACCTAATTCATGTTTGTAGTCCAATAACTAACTATATAATAATTACCTAGGAACATTTTTGGTGTTACCTTGGGTAGACAAGCATTGCACCAAGATGTAGATGTTGTATTTTCAAAATTATTTTTGTAATCACAACTGCTGTCTCTTAGCAACTTCCAAATATAGTTGAGGATTTGATAAGTGCTCTATTTAGGCTGTTTTAGGAAATGTTTCCACTTTAAGCTATCTTTTCCAAACATTCAACAAAATAAGCTCCTGTTAAAATCAAAATAATGTATTGATTTTGTCTCAGCTATAGATATTAGTTCATTTTTCAGCTTTCTGTTTGGAAAACAGAAGCTATTTTGAATACAGATATATTTTTCTGCAAAACTGAAGATGATGACAGTTCATAGGACTGCTTTCTCACACTCCCTCAGAACGCTGTTGCTCTTCAGTTGCTATTTATCCAGCACTACATCCCACTTGGACATTGAAAAAGTCTTGCTTCATTACTCCAGGTTTCTGCAGGGTGCCCCTCCTACTAGAACTTTTCAGCCTCGTATTTGTTCTACACCGACAACAACTTGGGCGTTATTTAAGCATCTCCTGTGCAACATTTAGAGGTGCAAATAATGGTCATATTGACGAAAGAGAAAGCCTGATAAGGGACTGACAGATACAGATTAACAAGTTTTTTTTAAGGAATGGAAATAAATTCCTGAGAACTGTAGACAGCTCCAGCTACCTTCATGACTATAGAGAGTATCTTTTGTTCCTTGTGTAAAATTTATTTCTCCCCACCCCCACTTACAGTTTTTGTTTCCTGCTTACTGACTGTGGTGTCAATGAGTTACACTTCATAGGAAAAGTTTAAGGCAGGGCAGTATTTAATGCAACAAAACTACATCTTTATCATGCAATGATATGCTTCATTTATTTTCATTCAGAAGGGAATCTATAAAAGTCATAGAAAGCACCACCTTCATTTACTGCTACTTTTTGTACATAACATAAGCAAGAAACACCGCACTCCATGACAGAGGGTAGAACATGTTTATCACCTATAAGCTTTTCAGCTGATTTACTGTTTTATGCTAACGTCACTAAGCACAAAAATACACTCTACTCACCAAATAAATTGCTTGAGTGTCCTTGCTTAGATATGGGTTTCAGTTCATTTAATCCCCATGCGTAACGCTTATAATTATCCCAGGCATGTTTC